ACGCTTGACAGTTCCTTTTCTTTCAGGTCCTCGTAAGTCGGCGAGAATCATGCCAATCCACGAGCTTCGAAGAACTGCCATAGCTCAACAGCTTTGATCTGAGCCAGCGCAACAACTCTCCATGGTAAAACAATACTGTGGTGGCAGTGAACACGTGGATGAAGCGTGGCAAAATGTAAAAGGAGCCATGCTAGCGGCGGTCTGTACTGCCTGCCTGACGTCTCCAATTCGACCAGAAGACCATGGATGTCGTCGTGGTCGTTGTACATGACTGATTCTAGGGAAGCATACCATCACACAAAGAGTAAGACGGTGCACGTTAATTCCTCAAACGGAAAATAGTGAAGAGTCTAAGGAAAGGCGGAGAGCACTAGTGGACAACGAAAGGTCGGGAGATGGAGGAAGCTTTTGCTACGGGGAACAGCCGTGCCCTCTACCAACTGATACGGTCGACTGCCCCTAGAAAGGCAAAAGTAAGCGCAATGATAAGTAAAAAGATGGCTTTCATACGGGCGAACTGAAGTTAAACCTCGATTGGCCTTCAGAAGAAGAAATAAGGTATGAAGTAGCCGTACTCAAAAGTAAGAAGTCACCAGGACCGGACGGTCTCCATGCGGTCCACTTCAATGGAGGCGAAAAACCTCTGGTGACCCACCTGATAACAATTATTGGTGCTACACTGGACAAAGGGAAAGTGCCTGCAGAATGGGAAATGTCGACAGCTACCCTTCTCTTCAAAAAGGGTTCGCGGAAGCTATGTAAAAACCAGAGCGGCATCAGTTTGTTACCTGTGGTGTCGAAGGTGCCACAGCTAGCTGGCCATATCCTTCGAAAGTTGACTGAATACAGAGCGAGGCAGACCCGTGAAAACCAAGCTGGATTCCGTCCCTTAACGGTTTGCATCGAACATATCTTCACCCACCGACAGATTTTGGAAGGGCAAAACTGCTTCCAGCAAGGAACAGTGTTTTTTTCTTGATCTAAAAGCTGCCGTTGACTCTGTGGAACGCCAAGAACTGTGACGGTGTCTGTAGAGCAAAGTTGTCTCCGTGAATTCTTGGTCCTTATTAAGGCGCTGCGCACCAAATCCCGCGGCCCTGTAAAGGTCTACGGGAAGTTCTTTCCTGAGTTCACCACATCAAGTGGTGTCCGACAGGGCTATCCTCTTCCACCTTTCCTCTTCAATTTCATCATTGATACGATCATGAGAGACTCACAACTAGCCTCTACTGCCTGTAGGGTCGAAGTGCTTCCTGGGCCTCCGCTCACAGACATCGAGTACGCAGACGACATAGCTCTTCTTGGATCTGGCGAACCTACGTCACCTGTGGTGTAGGCGTGACACCAGGTTCTCCGTCAAGGGTCGAGTTTACAATACTGCGGTGCGTAACATTTTACTATATGGATCAGAGACCCGGCCGCTGCCCGCCGAAGGCGACAGTGTTTGACCATCGAGCATTGCCCGAATCTGGTGGGAACACCGGATCAGCAATTCTGAAGTACGTCAAACGGTATTCGGTAGAAATAACTCACCCTCGATAGACGAACTGTTCATACTGCATAGTTTGAGCTGATTTGGCCACGTGCTGCGTATGCCCCTGGACCAACTTCTTCGGAGAGCAACTTTAAAACAATCACGTGAAGGGTAAAAGAGAGCCAGAGGCGGTCGAACAATGACTTGGCAGCGAAGTATGAAAGCCATCGCCAGTGAACCCAGTTGCGTTGGTCACTGCCGTCTTTCTGGATGAGGACCCCGAGACGGGCCATATCACTGGTTGCAGACATTGTCAGACATGGCTCAGTCGCGTCATCAATGGCGCTCGTGCATCCAAGCTATTGACATCATTGAATAACTCTTCTTCCAATCCCCTACCACGCTCGACAGCATACTAGGAGTTGTGGATTTATGCACCAATTTGTCATCTCTCGCCTGCAATGTGCAACAACCTATCCCTCTCCCCAACCGATCGGTGAGTTAAATTGTGGCAGCTACAACCGCTGTTCGAGGAGTACGCGGTCATTGCAACTGCGAATGTCGAAAACGTCCGCCTGGACGACGGTTGTGCCCACAATCAGAGAGACCGATTTTGACGGAGTGGAGCTGGAGTTTGGCTTCTCTGCTTATATCCGCACAGCTGACTCAGTTCAGTTCGGAGACCGTGGCTTTGGCGAGGAGTACTTGGCTGTACCTGTGCCGCCCGTTATAGAGATAAGCGTAGAAACTCTACGTATTTTGATCGCTGCTTGAATGTGAGGTTTGCGTCCTTCAGAACATCCCTACCTTAGGTGGAAAAAAGGCCTGTGGCGGTCGAATAACTACTGCTGTCCGGAGACGCGAAATGCGTCGGCCCGCTTATGGGAGCACAAGGG